CAAACACCAGAAATTTAATTAGAAAAATTATCGCAAAACGTTACTCAGCAGTAAAGAGAGTGCGAAAAACCAATGAAATCTTGTTGGACCTGGTGAAACACATACTAACTTATATAATATAAGATGTAAGTATGTTTGTGTGTATTATAACTTGAAAATTGCCAACGATATAAACATTGAATTAGCAACGCACATTCTTTTAATTATTTTTGATCTTCGCTAAAGAGTACGAGCATTACAAAACAACTAGACTATGATACCATAAAGTTGTGCAAAGTTGCAAGAAGCAACAGCAACAACTGATGGTAAATGGTAAGCGCTTCAACTAATTGAACAAAAAAAAGAGAAGCACAAGGCATTGGCTAAATGAAACTAGGGTGGGAGAAATCGTAGCACCACTTTAATGCAAATTTAATTTCAATTTTAAAAGTTTTAATTGCAACTGACAAGCTGGTGCATGCAGTTCACCAAAGAGTAATCGACAGACCATGGCGGCGACTGATGAATAAAGAGTTCCAGGGACGAACGACAGAAACTTCGGTTGTGGTACGGAAAGTTTGAGAGGCTGTTTGTTCCAGAAGTCGCTTACATATTTGTACCTGGTAACCAGCCAACGCTTTGTAACCAACGGAATACTATTCGCTAGTTTTTTCCTTATCACGAAAGATCTTTTATAAAAATCTTTGTCATGATTTTAATCGTTTGTATGGCAGCTGTACGCTATAGTGGTTCGTTCTGAACAATTTGTTCGGAAACTGTGGCGTTGCTTTTGCAATAAGAATCCAATCCGAATTTCGTGAAGATATCTCGTCTAATAAAAAAAGGACTTTAATTTAATCGTTCAGTTTGCATGGCAGCTATATAGAAAAGGACGTGTATAAAGTTTCAAATCGATATCTCAAAAACTGAAGGACTGGTTCGCGTATATAGAAAACTGGTACAGTTGACTTTCACAAGATTCTCTTGAGGAAAATTTTTCGCCAGCAAAATCATTCGCTATATATAACATATAAACCGATAGTTTTCACTTGGTGCCAAGTCCAGCCTTTAAGGTGGATGCATAAGAAGCTCCCAACCAAGCTTTCGGAGCTTTTAGCGAATCACTATCGATTTGATGAAAAACAGTTCTTATTCTATTTACCAAGCTGGCCCTTTCTAGGAGATTACTTCCATCATACGGTCTAATTGTTGTCAGTACAGATCTGTATTAAGTGTTTGACCGTAGGCAAGCGCTCACACCAGATGATTTAGGAAAAGCTTCCCGATCGTTAATCTTGGCTTGGTCGAAGTTTGCGCAGTGATTCGAACAGTTTTGTTGTGATTCAGAAGTGATTCGCAGCTGAAAATTCGGTCTATGAGGATTTATGAATTATATTGTAGTATTTTTCGATTCGCCATTCCTGGTAATTTGATTTGAGTTCTGCTCTCTAAACATTTTCTCTGTCTAAATATTCTCGAATCTTAAAGGAACTCATCAAAATAATTTTTGATACAAGTTTTATTTCTACCTATATATAGTTTAAATTCTTGAACGCTACATTAAAAAGCAGACTACCAAAATAGGACCATTTTTATTGCGGTTAGTCTCCTCATATGGAAATATCAGTTTTTCAGCCTTCTGCCCGCTTTATTAGTAATTGATATATTGATCCATTCATTTATCTCACGTCTTCCTACCTCATCAGGCCAGGACCTAATCTCCTACATATGAATACAAATATAGCAAAAAGTGACATCCTCATCTTGAAAGACAATTTGAGTTCTTCATTAAATTGGCAAATAATTGTTATTCCTTCCTTAAATATGCCAGAGGAAGACATAACGAAGCCAGTCAATGAAATGTGAACTATCCACAAAAACCCAAAAATTATAAATTTAATTTCTAAGCTTTAAAACTATCCTGCCAAAATATCTTATATACCTTACAATTTACTTCAATGTAAGACATATGAGTTGTTCAAATAATGAAGCTTTCGTCGAAAGTAACACACAAATAAGCAGCACAAGCGGTTTGACCGCAACGCTATAAAAAATTATGAATGATGATGAATGTTCGTCTTTGCTTTTTTGCCTGCAGTTTATTATAACTTTTTTTCATATCTAAAAGCCAGAGCGTGAGAGAAAGGAGGCATGCTGCAAGGGAAGCAAAAAACAGATTCGTGCCACATACAGAATTCAAGCTGCTTGTGGTGGTCATACGGCTTTAGAAGTGTGAAAGAAGTAGGACCACTGAAAATTACTAAACCGCAATGAAAACTTGAAAATGCAGGAAATTGGCTGGTGGTTGTTGGTTGGCGATTGTTGGGGCGATGAAGGGGTGGCTGGAAAGTTTAGTTGAGTGAGTTTGTAAAAAAAAACAATTTTAATACTTCCTAAGGGAGGCCTGTGCAGATGATATCTTAAATGAAAATAAATTGAGTGTTGCTGACGCAGAGCGTAAAATGCGTTATCGTCGTTAAATAAATTTGTATGTTAATTAGGGTTGTATTTTAAAATACCATAGCACGAAGCAAGATTCTGAGTGCAGTCGAGCGCTTTACAAGAAAGATTTTAAATGAAATTTGGTATATTCAATTTGTTGAGGTAATTTTTTAACACTCAAAAATTAAACTGTTAACCTCTCAGCTCTTGATGTGTAGAACGAAATAATTACTAATTATCTTGCATAGGATGCTTTTGTGGAGGCCAAACATTGAGGAGAGAATGAGGAGGATATCGGTTAGCTACTACTGCTGCAGAGGATCAATTGAAAAGAGGTGGGGTTTCTTCACCAAAGGGGTGTTCTAGCTCAATGAAACAGTGGATAAACCAATAATGTTGTATGGGGTTGTTGCTGGTAGAGAGCGGACAAACCACACCCGAGCTGTCCTCATTTTCACCTGTGGTTCACTAAGGACAACACTAACAATGGCACTCAATGTCATTCTTATTAAACAAAGACATTCTGAAATCCTGTGATTTGTGGGTGAGGCAACGCCGCTCGAGAATAGGTGCAGTGAGCTTTTTCACGGGTGAATCGAAGCTTTGGGAAAGGTGGGAGGTGAAGTCTTCTCCAACAACTCTAGCTTCAAGCTTCCAGATAGTGCAGCTTCCTTCAGAGAGGTGTGCAATGCACACTGTGTTTTCACTCCGATAGCAGAGTGGCTTTACTGGCCATGAACTCGCTGACAGGGCGCTCAAGACTAGTAAATGAATATTTGACCTCTGTCTGTCAGTAGCATCAAGCTACTTCGTTATTCAACTTGTTTAGTGCCTAGTCACAGTGGAATCGTTGGAAAATGCAAATCGGATGAGCTCGCTAAAGAGGGCACTCTTACCCTAAATTCATCAGATTGAGATTCGGTAGGCACATTCCCTACATTATTAACCGTTTGGCAGATGGAGGTTGAAACCGCTGGGTGGACACATCTTCGGCGATCCTGGCGTAGGGGCTGGGATTGATATGAACCGCCCTAACAAATTAATTGTGGGTTTAAAACGCTTCAAAACGCTTGCGATCTATAACTCTATATCTAGGAATTTTGGCAATCACAAAAGATCAGTGTGCCCAGCTGTCCAAGCACGATCCTAGGTTATCTTCGGTACGAGGATCAGTCCTATGACCTAACTCATTTTAACCTAATTATACTTTGCAAGATCTACGGTAGAGTTTCGGTGTGGACTATAATTTAAGGGATTAGTATTTTTCAGAAAAAACTATATACGAGTATTATAGTCACTGTGATATGCAAAATCACATGATCCCTTAAGGAAATATTATCTAAGCTGAAGTATAACATCAGTTATAGTAACCTAGGCATTTTACTTAAAAGGCTACTGAAATGTCGAACACTTTAGACCATCCTTGAAGTGAGAACGAAGTAGTACAAATTAGATCTAAAGGCGTTAAAAACGTCCTTTTAAGCCCATTAGCAAGGAAATTTTTAAATCTTAACTAAATGCAATGGAGAGGGGCAAAATAGCTTTCCAATTCACTTGAGTATTACATGTCTACAGGCACCCATGTTGCTAAACTTTAAATAGATGCCGTCCGAAGAGCTGTATGAACGCGGGTATTCATTTAGGGTTTCATTAACTTCTTTCTTTTTAATGCAGTCATGGCAGTTACATCACTAGTAGTATAAATCGTTTAAATTTGAGATACTTGAGAGAACTTATTAAAACCACTTACGCAAGCTAGCTGCTAGCTCGCACATTCTTATACCCTGAACAGAGTACATTAAGTTTGTCACGAAGATTGTAACACCTAAATGGAAACGTCAGAGATTCTATAAAATATATACATACATATACAAATGATCAGCATGACGAGCTAAATCGATTTAGCTATGTGCATCTGTCTGTCCGTCTCTATATAAGTAAACTAGTCACTAAGTTCTTGAGCTAACGATAGCATATAGCTGCTACAAAAACTGAACGCTCAAAATTCATTTCCTGTATCGAACACTTTTTTATTTGACAGGGTATCTTCACGAAAATCAGCATGTGTTAAAATCTCCAAAGAAATTGTCCACACTGACCGATCAATATGAGAAAAAAAAAATCTTTTTATAAACTTTTATACTATTAAAATGCTCCTGTCGGGTCAAAATAGAGTATTTGGAAAAAATCTAGGCAAAACCTATGCTGTTGCAAAGTTCGATCAAAAGTTTATAGCAAAAATATCGAACTTTATTGCATTACAGCCATAATTTGAAACTATTAGTTCTAAATAAAAAGAGCTAAAAGTTCATAAGCTACTATTACACACATAAACATACATATACGGTTGTTGTATGTAGTAAGGAATGTCAATAATATGGAAGCCGCTAAAATCAGTCGCAGACGTTACTTAGCTAAAGTCTTTTTTAATTTTAAAGACACTACCAGCAAATCACTAGAAACGCGGTTTTGAACAAATGTGATTTAGTACTGAACACATAACGATCGAAAATTCCCCGTTTTCACTTTTGTTCGACACAATAAACAGTAACAATTAGCTTAAATTAAATAACACTTACCTCATATAACTTGTACTTTGCGTTCATTCATGACCAGCTTTCATGTGTTGTAATTGTAAAAGCTTGCTGAAATAAAAAAATTAAAATTTTATAATACCGTAAGTCAATAAAAATTACTAATATTGGATAAATTGATGATTGCATAGAAAAGTTGAAATTGAAATCAGTTTTCTTGAGAAATCCACTGTTGAATCAATAAGAATGACAATTGACGCATATTAAAAAGCAAAAACAACATTATTGTACATTATAATAATAATAAGCGCAGAAAAGTGTAATCAGATAAATATATAAAGAAATCACACATACACACATGTGCACTTAAGTGCTTTTTCGCGCGCTTTCATGGTTATGAAGACTTCCCGACTTATGATTATTGTGTATGCCAGCGAGTACTTGTGTGAGTACTTGAGGCATGGGATTGTCCCACTTTTTGTAGTGGGCAACCGCAAAGAAACGAAAGACGTACACACAAGGCGAAAACAGAAACAAAAAAGTAAAAAATCATGAAAAAAAAAATATAAAAACATAAAATACTCCTACAAGCACATATGTTAATAGGAAATAGCTAAGCGCTAAGGGAGATCTGGTCGCCTTTTAAGTCTATAAGTAGGAGTAGCCGAGAAAAGTATGGTGAAAAGTGGATAAAAAAAATAGTTTTGGCACTAACCATTAATAATGCTATAGCATTACCTTTGTGCTGCCAAACCGTTGTTGTTATGATAAGTGTTATGAGAGGCTTAGGAGGGAGTAAAAGTAAAATAAAAATCAAAAATAAATAAAAATAGGTGGAATAATAAATAACAGCGAATATTAATAATCATCTGTGTTGAAGAGCAGACACGTTTTAGATGGCTCACGTGTGCAAAATCTTATTAAAGTGTAAAATTATGCGGTTATGTATGGGCTATGTATGTAATGTGATAGCAATTTAAAAAAAAAACATACATACATTAAACGTATTATTCACGCAAAGTTTTACCCCGATATAATCACTGTGGCTTGATATGCATAGTGGAAAGTGAAAGAATCAGATGGAATTGAAAATGGTGTTATATGGGAAATAGGCGTGGTTGTAGTCCGATTTAGCCCATTTTCGCAATATAACATAGAAATATGAAAAGAACGTTATGCACCGAATTTGGTTGAAATCGGTTAAGCAGATCCCAATATATGGGTTTTCACCTAAAAGTGGGCTGTGCCAGCCCAACTGTCTAATTTTGAACGCGATTCTTATAAAGTCATCTCATACCATCCCATAAATAAAATTTAATGTCTCTGGCGTGTTTAGTGCTTGATTTATCGCGCTTTTAGTAGTTTTTAACAGTACCGTTATATGGGGAGTGGGCGGAGTTGCCACCCGATCACTCATTTTCACACCGTTGTTGTTGTTGTTGTAGCGACAGAATTCTGCCGAGTTGACAGTCCTTGGCCGGAATAAATCCGGGTCCGTTCCGGTTACGTAGACCCGACTGTCGTGGGAACGGATTTTCACACCGTAGATAGGGGTGCTAAAAACATTTGTTCTCAGTGAATTTTGTTATTATAGCTTTAGCGGTTTAGGAGATATGCACATTAAAACTATTAGAGGCGGGACCACGCCCACTTTTTAAAAAAGTTTTAACTGCAGATGCCCCTCCCTAATGTGATCCTGTGTACCAAATAACAGTCTTGTATCTTATTGCGGAGCTTAGTTATGGCAAGTTATTTGTTTTTGATTAATGGCGTTTTGTGGGCGTGGCAGTGGTCCGATTACGCCCATCTGCAATACCAACCGTCTCACGGTACCAAGAAACATGTCTACCAAGTTTCATAGAGATATCTCAATTTTAACTCAAGTTACAGCTTGCACGGACGGACAGACAGTCACCCGGATTATAACTCGTCTCTTCACCCTGATCATTTATATATATATAACCCTATATCTAACTCGATTAGTTTTAGGTGATACAAACAACCGTTAGGTGAACAAAACTATTATACTCTGTAGCAACAGGTTGCGCGAGTATAAAAATAATGTAATAAAATAAAATCTGGCAAGGTTCAAAAGCGTCATATAATATAAAAATTTAAAATATAAAATAGTAACAAATAAAATACGGCATGGCTAAATAACAAAAAACAGCAGCAATAAAAAAATTTCGTCAAACATTTATGAAAACATTTAAAAAATACATATAAATTAAAATCCGTCAAGGTTCAGAACTGACTAAATTAAAAAAACTAAAAACGTTTCCACATTATATAACAAAAAATAAATAAAACATAAGAATCTTAGAAAAACATTAATCTCTCTCTATCAACAATATAACTTCTGCTTGCACTTTTACATTTTTTTGTTAAATTTAAAACTTTTAAGCTGTTGTAATTTTATAAAAAATAAAATAAAAAGCTTGCCTCAAAAATTTAAATACCCAATTCTAAATAATATATATACATATATATGAATGTATGTTTAATTATGTACATACATACAATAACCGTTTTGAAAGAAAAAAATAGTAGTAAATAATTGCACGTATTCCAATGTTCCATGACAACTGTTAACCCGATATAGTTTTATAGACAAATTTGGCGACTTATGTTCATTTAATTAAAATATTTAAAATAAATAAAATCTAAAGAATAATTTATGTGCTTTCAATAAAAAGAAAATTAAACAAATTTAATGAAAATTAATTATAAATTTTAAAAACGATATTTTGAGGAGCAAATGCATTTAAATTTTTTGAAAATAATTAATGAATGAACGTACTCGAGTGTGGCTACTACAGTAACTAAACGAAGTGTTTCAGGTTTGAAATACAAATCAGGTTTGAAATACAAGTTAAAGCTCAAGTTTTAACGGGGTTGCACTTTTTTTATAAAATTTCTAAATATTTAATTACTACCAGATATTTTAATTAAAACAACTGACTGAAGATTAAACAAAAATTTAATTACTAAAATACCTAATTTCTAAATAATAAAAAAAAATTATTAATTCACTATTAGCCGTTTTTTTTACAAGAATAAGCCCGTTTTGAAATGCAGGAAGTTTTTGTAAGTTTTGTTGGTAGGGAACTAATAAAACTAATTTTTATTTAAAATACGAAAGAGAGTGAGAGATTGATAAAGTGAGATCGAAAGAGAGATACAAGGATACTAATGCTCTGAATTTTAAAAGACAACGGCATCTAATGTTTGCTGGCTTCTTCGTTCATTAATTTATTGGTGCTCTTGAACTGAACGAGCTTTCAAAGCTCTCTTTTATACGATATCGTAAGCCAGTGTACGAGTAGAAAAAGTTAGTCCAAATAAGTGCACTAAAGCGTCATGATAACTCTTATAAGCATTAGAAAGAACACAATTAGGCGAAACTATGTCGATTACTTTAGATTTGAAGGTAGTTATTAAACCGTTTACATACCAAATTATAATCACAGATTAGTTCAATTAATTTTAATTTCAAACAAGGAAGATAATACCGGAAATTCAATTATTTTATCGATACTTGTATTATAAATATTATCAGATATATATATCAATATTGTTAAACTCCGATTCCGGTTTTTGTAGAAGAAACGTTAAAGTTGACTTAGTTATCTGCAGTATAGCTAGAAGTTAGCTTTATTATTTTTCACTTTTAATTAAATATTTTATTGGTTAAGATTTCTGGTTCATAGATTTGTTAGCAAATTGCACGACTATCACTGAGTGAAATTCGCTTGAGAGATAAACATTTTAATTGAGCATGTAATTCTAAAATTTTGAAGCTTATTTGCACTACCCTTTAAACTTCACTTGCTCGCATTGCGTTGCGATTGAAACCGTGAAAAAGTTAATAAATTTCATATCTATCTATACGTAGTTGGATTATACACTGTCATTATAACATAGTCGATGCGTAAGTGTTTACCTAATAATCAAAGACAAGAATAACAATAAATGACTAATCAACGGACAGTCGCGGGTGGGAATTAAATAAACAAAAAATTAAGCAGCAATTGTTGTCCGTCATTGAATTATTTTGTGTCCACAGTTGATTATAAGCACATACGCAATTATAAAAAAAAAAAACACAAGCAGTGACAATAGAAAAATAGGAAAACAATAATAAAAAACATTAAAAATAAACAAAAGACACTTATTGAGTTTTATTTTTGATCATTGTAGATTCGCAATTAAGTATAGGTGTATTTATAAGTGTGTATATATACATATATAGGTAAGTAAATATATATATATAAATAAACCGCATTATATATCTCAATATATATATATCTCATTCACTATTTTTGTTTGCAAATTATTTTGAAGTGCGCGACTTTAATCTTCAACGTGTGTGATTAAATTGCGCAGAAAAACGTGAATACCTTTTCTGAAACTCTAATGAAATACTTATGGAATCTACCAATTACCTTACTAATCTACCTTATGGAATCTACCACTTGCACACCAATTTAACATAAGCCGGAACTTAGTTCGGCTGTAGGGTCCGATGTAGCTATTTAGCCGCTCCGGGCAAATATTATTTTCGCCGCCCTTTACATACACAAAGCTATATAAGTCATGAGATAGTTTTGTTGGGGATGCTAAGTATACAAGTACCTACATAAAATACGTGATGTTGTTGGGATTATGCCTACCTATAATATTCACGTCAGTCTTTTGGGCCTTCTGAAGAAGTATACTATACGAAAGTTGATGAGTGTTTTTATGTTAGTAAGTATACATGTATGTCTTTATAAGGAATTTCACAGAAATTGATTTATTTTTTTATCGACATATTTATGTACCTTTAAACTTTATCATCATCATCAACCTATTGCGACTCACTGCTCCGTATGGGCCTCTTTTCCCTTGTGCTATTTTTCCCTGTTTCGGGCTGCCTATGTATCATGTTGTCCTCTTTAACAAAGGAACAATAAACAATATTTATCAAAATCGTTTCAGAAGGTAAAAAGATTAGGACCAAGCTGTTTAATGGTTAATTATGGCCAATCGGTTCTTATAATTTAAGTTAAGGTTCATACGTATAAAAAAACACAACAAAAGATTTGTTTTATAATTTAATACTGATAAAA